TTGTGGTGAGACATGATAGTGATTTTTTTTAATCTTTAATGAAATGTTTCTTTTGAAAAAAGTGTCTCCTCAGAATGAGGACACTTCTGCAGGAGCCAAATCAGAGTCATCTTAATGTTCTTGGTTTGTATGAGGGACTTGAAGCAGTATTTTGTGCATCACCGCAAGCTCCCCTGAGGATCAGCCCACTGTTATTTCAGAGTCAAGGAGCACAGCTAACTGTGAGATTTGAATGGCTCCTGCTATGTACTGAAGGAAAAAGCCCTTGTGCCTCTATCTTTGGAAGATTTTTAGCTGTTTGGATTCACTTTCCACACGGTGGGATATGTCAAATATGTTTCTGCTGGAAATTGTTGGTGTGACTATGCTGACTACTTTCGCCACGTCAGGTGGTTCCTCGACACAGAGCTGTGGAGAGAAACATCTCTTACGGCTTTCTATTGTAAGAAAATGTAATGATTGAATGTGTTACAATGAACTGTTACATGATTATCATTTCTTCTGGCCTGCCTGGGTGAGACAAGTTATCCTTGTCTCCCCCTGAAAAGTCCAAGAATGTTTGAAGTATGTAACTGACTTTCTCAACAGGGATAATTGTTTGAATTGTGACAGGGAGGATCCAGTACTTTACAGTTTGGTACAAAGACTAGAACTGAAGCATACTGAGTAGCATTTATATGTTTCTTCTTGAGCTGGGCTGGCTCATGGACAGTGTGTTTGCTTTATTAACCCTGGCCAGATATGCCTTGACCCACAGTCTAAAATGATCCTCTTGGTCATGGGAGTTAAGTAGATGTTTTGCTCTTGAATGCTGATCATACAGTGAGTGAGCTTGGTTTGTCTTGTAGTGGTGTGGTTTTTGTCAAGGTTCTTGGCATGAGAAGGGAACTGAAATGACTTTGCTTAAGACCACAGAGTGTAAATAACACTTCTGAAACCACTTCTAATCAGAGCAGCCTAACATGAGCGAATATTTTCAGAGCATCTTGTCTCTTTGAGTTAGTACTCTTAGCAGTACATTGTAATACCTTATATTCTTCAGATATTTCTTATTTCCTCCAATTGCCACCACGTTGATGTGGTTATTGTGTTGTTCTTTGGTAGACCGGATGTTCTGGTGCACATCTCAGTCCTACAGTTTTGTTTTTTTTTTTTCCAGCCTGGATGTAAATGCTTATTCTTTAGCAATACTTTTTGACTTAGTTGGTGAGAAAGAAAAAAAAGGCAGGGAGTGAGGAGATCTGAAAGGTTTCCACCATGACCCTCAGTACCGTTTGGCAGAATGCCATCTTGGTCCTAAGGATTTTTGTAGATTCAGAAAAGAGTTCAGATAAGGCTACTTTTGGTTCTGTTGACTTTACATGATGGCTCACATAGGGCAGAAAGTGAGAAGTGGATTCAGATGTACTCGAAAGACCTGGACCTACCAACTGCTTGTTATTTGAAGGCTCCCTCTAGTAACAGCAGGGAAACAGAGGAGAACCAAATTGTACTTTTGTGTGCTGAACCAAAACTGCAGCATCTTGTAAAACTTAAATATCTTTAACCTGCCCAGTATATAGCTTTTAGTAGCTCTTTTGAGTATGTAGTTTGAGCAATAAGTTTGTTTGAAATCGGAACTCATTAATTGAAAAGTTGTTGGGATCAAAATACTGGAGTAGAAATAATGACAAATATTTCACAAAGTATCTCAAGTATTTCAGTCCACGGGAAGTGTTGTGAAACTTGGGATTTCCTGTTCTTATTTAATTTTTTCATAGGATAAATATTGAAATATTTGTAAAGGAAATATACCAAGTGGAAAAGTGAACTGCTAGCAGAGCAGGAAGATTACTGATCCTACAGCCAGCACAGACGCTGGCTGTGCATTGTGTCCCACTCATGAATGAAGTCAGTGCAATTCCCAAGGCAGAAAACCACCTGCATGATCTCCCTCCCATATGGGAGCAGCCATGGTTGAAGTACAAACCCTTCCTGGGCACAGGGACCTACGTGAGACAGAGCACACCAAAGGAGGCTGCCGAGGAGCCTTTGGGTTGTTTTTGTTACCAGCTGTTTTAAATAGCTTGTAATCGGTTGGATCCCGCTGAGTTTGGTTTCTACGACTCCCTTCACTCCTCTAATTGTTTCTAAGGAATGGTATTTGTAATTACTGCAGGTTAGTGGAAGTTTAAGTTACCAGTAGTGCCTTAACTGTAACCACTTTTTTCTGTCTAAGCTTGCTCAATTCATATTTGTGATAGTTCTGGATGTTTTTGCAGGGGGACTATCTTCCTAACTCATTGTCTCCATAGCTGAACTAATACAACCATTTAACTCCAATCTGTTAAGCAGAGTGGTCTAACACTATGCCTGTTGAACAATGATCTTCTCTGCTATGCTGGCTGGGATGTGCCACACAGAAGAAGTTGTTTTTTAATCACTCAGTTCTCTGAATACCATTTCTGCATCAATTTCTCAAGGCTAACTGGACAAAAGTAGTGGAATAGCAGAGCTACCGCTGCATAATTTCACAGTGGTCTCCAAAGGAGTAGTGAATGAGTTTCATCTTTGTAAGCTAGGACTGGAGCAGCATTAGGTTATTGTATTTAGTATCTAAATGTTGAACACTCGAGCATTGTTTCTTGAGACAGAATGATGTAGTTAGCTTGAAGGGGGAATGTTGAGAAGGAGGACGGTGAAATAAAATAGCAATGGTTTTAATATAGTTCTAGATATTTATTTATTGGGAGTTTTAATGGTAAACTGTGTACAGGGCTGCTTGGTTATGTCTCACTTTTGGAAACCAGTTCTGTTTTCTTACCTTTTGTTTTGTCTTGTGAAATGCCCACGGTCTTTTGGGCTATTTCCCATACTTGTGGTGATGTTTTTCCTATGCCTTTTCCTCCTGTTTCATATGCCCAGCATTATCACAGCTCTGCTGAATGAGGTCCCAGCCTAACTACAATATTAACCCTGAAAATCTGTTCATTTTCTCCCGAGCAGCCCTGGGCAGAATATACAGGAGAATGTGTCCAATTGAAAAACTATTACAGGCTCCACAGTGCTGCGGTCTGCTAAATTGTTACAGGGCTGTGTTTTTGTGACAGAGAGGATCCCAGTAAGGGGGGTGATGCTGTCTATTCCATACAAGTTACAGAATTTATTTTTCTTTTTAGTCTCAGCTTTCTTTGTTGGCTTTTCAAATTGTTTGCCCGCTTTTGAGCACTGGAATGTGTTCTGTACCCCACTGTGCACACTTTATCCTCAGTCAGTATCATTTCTTGCCTTCTTATTTCCACTTTTCCAGTCATCATTTTTAATTTTTTCTTCATTATTTTGCTAAGTACCTTGCTGCAGATCACTAACATCTTGGGTGGTGGTTGTACCACATAGCATTTATAGCATACATTAGTTTTGCATAGCGTGTGTACCGTATTTTGTCTGGACTTGTCTTCATTGTGCTGCAGGCACCTCCTCAAGCAATTGTAGTAATTAAGAGTGGTATTTCTGCAAATTTATATTAACTTCTGCTTATGTAGAAACAGGGGAAGAAAAAAAAAAAAGCAAAACAAGCAGCACTCCCCCCAACTCCAACATCTAAACTAGGCGTTTTTCTTCATCCTCTTCATTTTTATCAGTATTTGACCAAAGCTTGCTTTTGTATATGAAAGAAAATTAGTTAAGTACCTTGTGGTTTATAGATGCCTTTTGTTACGTATTACTTGAATTTATTGTGCAACACTGGCCTGTAAATCATTTGGGTTAGACATTTACCTGGCTCACGTTGCCTTTATGGTTTGAATCTTTAACAGCCATGAAAAACATACATGTTTTCAACAGCAAAGGGCTTCGCCAGTCCAAATTCCCCGTAACTCTGCTTCAGTGAGGCTTAGTACCCAGATCTGTGAGATGTTTACAAAGAAGCCATTAGGTTTTGCAGCTAAAAGACGTGTTGAAAGAACAAAGAGAGTTTTGTGATGAAGTGTATCTGACTTCTCACTGCTTTGCTTACCTTTTAAATGTAAAACTGCATAATTTGCAAGGGCTTTTATTTCTCAGGGCATCTCTGTAAGATTCCACCAGTGTGGAGCTTTCCTTCAGCAGAAAGCGCGGTCGTCCCAAAACCGCTCTCGAACGCATTTCTATTTTAATCCCCAGCTTTGAATACAGCCTGCCTTACTGGCTCGGGCAAATGGCTCTGCCCTGCCCCACCCCGCCGGGCGCGCAGACGAGGAGCACGCTGCTTGCTGGCGTTACATCCCTGCCTTTGTGACTAAAAGTTGGTTTCATCAGCATCAGCTCCCGCTCCACTTTGGGAGCCCGCCTGCCCGGGGAAGCCGCTCAGACCCGCCGCCTATGTGGGGCACGCAGGGGCAGCTCTCGCCATCCGTGTAACTTTTAAATGGAAGATGTCTTTCTCAAAGGCTGCCGATGTCCAGCGGTGTGCAGTGCGTGAACAGTTGACTAGTCCAGGTGTTTCTGCTTCTGTTTCTGTGCTATGTGAGTTGGAAATTCAAGAGAAGAGTGTGCAGAATGGAGGAGTTGAGGGTTCGTATTTCTCTTCTGACTGCATTGCAGTGACTGAGGGCTTGGGAAGGAACATAAATTCTACCTGTGGGTTTTAATTAAAGAAAATAGTAATTGTTCTTAGGCTTTCTGTCTGCGGCTCGTGGTGCTTTTGTCAGAGACTTTATCAGCTCTGAAGTACGAGAACGAGCTTCTTTCTCTTTTCTGTATGGGTTGTCTGTCATGAGCAGTGTTCAGGAGGAACTTGTTGTATCAAATGTGATTTCTACTTTGGGGGCTCGATCGCTGCATTTTGCCACGCTTTACCTATTTGAAATGCAGCCAGTTAAGACTTTTACAAGTGGATTGATTTTAAAAACTGCCAAGGATTTATCTGTGCTTTAATAAGATGAAAATGGTAAGCTGAGGCTACAACAGAACTGTTGACTGGAGACTGTGGGTTTCTGCGAGGTTTTCAAGAAGATCATTAATCCGGGTCTATCTCTTCACAGGACAGTCGGCCCAATATGTCAAGACCTCTGATCACTAGATCCCCTGCATCTCCATTGAACAATCAAGGCATCCCCACTCCAGCACAACTCACAAAATCCAACGCACCAGTTCACATTGATGTGGGTGGGCACATGTATACCAGCAGCTTGGCCACGCTTACAAAATATCCTGATTCCAGGTAACTTTAAAAAGATTGTTCTGCATGTCTTTGGCAACTCCTTTTCTTCAATTTCATGCTTGGACGTCCTGGGGCTGTCTTAGAGCGATAAATTTAGTTCCCTTTGTTTCGGAATGAAATTAGGTTTCTTTGTTCATAGGAGGTTAGAGACTGACTTTTCTTTCTCTGATCCACTGTGTTTCAGACAAATGGCATCTTTGCAGATCCCTGTGTTTACATACTAAAACAAAGTAAAGAACACTGACTTTCCACCATAGTTTTTTGCCCGGCATACATTCTGTGGTTTATTACAATCAAAAGCTGTACAAATACTGCATTTAAGTCTGAAGTTGGGGGTGTTGGGATATTTGTTTTGTTTCACTTTTTTTTTTAACCTTTCACTTTTTTTTTTTTTTTTTTTTTTTTTTTTTTTTGGTCTTTTGGAGACCTTTTTTCCTGTGCTGTCAAAGTATACTCTTAGATGTGTCACATGAGGTTATATGTAACAAAATATAGGACAGCATTAACTTCATACTTTTTATAGCATCTTAGGACTTTTTCAGATAATTAGACTCTTTAATTCTCACATTCTCACTTTATATATCTTCTAAATGGAAAATATGTGGCTTTGGTAACTTAATGGAATTAAGTAATTAGAAAGCTTTTGAATGCATGAGTAAAGGGTTGTATGTATATAGAATAGATGTAATAGAAGTGCAGTTTTAAGAAAACGGGTTCACTGAACATATAGCATGAGAATGTTTCATAGTGGTGGTGGCAGATAAACATGGCAGGATATTGTAATTCTGAAAGTGGTTATCAGAGGTTGATTGTGTCTGCAGCATTAGTCTATAGCTACTCTAGAATAAGAACTTTTACCTTCATGGTCTTTCCTCACCAGCATATGAGTAGGGGTGGAAGAATTTTAAGGCACAGCTCCCCTTTCTCCCCACCCACTTGTACTCCTCTTTCTCAGCTCTGCTCTGCTAAGGCAGAAAAGAAGCTCTGCATAGTATAGTCAGCATAGATCTATGGGTTCATAGGAGCAGAAGACCCAAAGGGGTCTCAATGCTTCCTTGATGTGTGACCTTCTGCAGAGAAGTGGCTCAGTCTAACAGGACAGATGGATTAGTGCATGGGGGCTTAGTGGGAGAAGAGCAGTGCAATCTATCAGATCCTTGGCCATAGGCATTTGGCAGCATTGTCACCTTACTAGCACTGAGATCACTTTTTTTGGATGATGATCACATAAATGATTTAAATGGTATTCTCCATCACAATGAGACTTGTAATTCATGTTTTGAGACCTAAAGAAATTAAAGAGAATCTTACAGTGAATGGAAATACTCATGCTAGTCCATGAGAGGATGTCTTGGTGGCATCCTGTCACTCTAGTTGAATCTCAGTTAAGTGGTTCATTTAGAAAGGACCCAGAAAGACAGAAAGATCCTTTCTGCAATTCAAGCAAGCCAATTCTTTTCTGCTTCACGAGCAATTCCCTCTATTAATTATTGTCCTATCACATGACTGATCTCCAGTGTCACCTTTGCCCATTATTTTGAGCTATTTTAGTAACAGCAATTCACAGCTGAAGCATTTATTTAGATAATTTCTTTTGTCTTGCTAAGCTTTTGTTTCCATCAGCTCTTTTTTACTGGGTTGTGGGGAGTGATTTCATGAGTTTCCTGATCCCACAACACTAACTTGCCTTTTCAAAGGGCATAAGGTGCACTTCATGGAGTATGGTTTTGTTCTAAGAGTAGTTTTCACTGCTACTACTGCCTCTGCAGCATTGTCAGCATAGTTTTAAGTAGGACTGCAGCGCTTCTAACACTAAGACCTGACAGTGACAGGAAGAGAATGGTAAATAAAGGCATGTGAAAGAGAAACAGCTGGACACACGGCCTTTCTTTTAACACTTCAAGGAAGGCCAGGCAGAGAGAACTAATAGAGGCATTGCCAGATGACAGGCCTGCCTTGAGAGATTGAAGCAATGTCTGGAAAAACTCGAACTGTTCTTCGAAAATGGAACCTACCCACATGAAGAATTTTTCTTAGGACCTGGTTGTGTTCAGCTTCTAGGATTGGTTATTATTTAGCATTTCCTCTGTAGCTGGGGTGGTGACGGTGTCTGAAATAGGAGGGAAATGCCTTCCTGCTGTGTATGGCTTCTTACAGTGCAGCAGAAGAGGCTGTTGCTATTAATGCATGCAGCTTCTGTTTGCATGTCGAATTCACCAGGACAGCGTATTTCTTTTTAAGTGCAGAAACTGAAGTATCTTTTCTAAGTGTTTAGTGGCAGTGGAATTTAAACTTAATGCATTCTACATTCAGTTGAGTTATTGTAACACTTTAAAGTGGAAGCTACGCCTCTAGTATCAAAGTCAGTTTAATAAATTAAACATTTTAAAGCTCTCCGAACATAATGTATAGAAAATCCAAACTCTAAGTTATAGTCATTCTGTTTCAAGTCGTTCTGACATGCATTTATGTCTCAGTTCTGACAGAAAGTGTCTTTTGAACCCCTTGATGAGTGAATAATTCCAGCACAGCTATTAGATTCTGGAATTCCCAGTCACTTCCAGAACTTGAGATATTTCTTTTTTAACATCAGTAGCTTCAAAAGAACAATTACTAAACTCGTTTGGATGTCAAGACAGTGGCATGAAGCAATAAGCTGGCAATTACGATACTGTAGTTTGTTTTTTGTCTATGAGATCTTAACAATTTATTTCCAGCGTTGTGCATGTGTGTGTATGGGGAGTTCTAGGTAGTAGCCAGTAACGTTTGGACCTTAATACAGATTGTTCCTCAGAGCCTGACCTGGTCAGTCTGTACTCAACAGACTTTTTTAGCGTGTGTTACTCTTGTCCAAAGTTTTGGTCAACTTTGTTTAATATCTTCTTTTTCCACCAATATCACATTTGTGCACGAGATCAAAACTATGGCAACGTCTCACAGATCTTTTTGGGTGAGTTGAAGCCTCCTGAGGCTCACTGTCACATGGAGTATTGCTTGTGAAAAATAAGGTCTTGATTATCTTGCCTGAAAGAGCACTGCTCCAGGGATGAGTCAAAGCATAGGTTGCAGGCTCCAGCATCTAACAGGTTGAGACACGAAAGTCATTAGGCTCCTGACTTGTATTACATGTAGTCTAAGGGCCAGAAGCCTAAAATGAACCTTTCATCTGTGGGCCAGGTACCAGAGTCATCTTTCTTTGTGAGATTGAAAGGGTGATATCCAAAGCAGCAGTTTTGGAGTCACTATGACTTGCCAGTGTAGAGGAGACCCATCCTGATAGAGCACTTTGTTTGGGAGCGTGTATTGTTCCTTCATCTTTTGGATTTAATAACAGCTGATCTTGTTGCTCTCCATTCTCTTGTTCTTGAACAATACAGTGGGAATTGGAAAGAGTTCCTTAACTAGTACCAGGTAAAGATTTGCAGTTTGCAGGGTACATTTTCCATAATTCTTTTGTTAGATCTCTGAAAGGAATTTATAATTTGATATGTAAAATTCCTACAGACAGGTATCTATCCTTTCCTCCAAAGAAAACCTAGGAAAGATTAGAAAAGCATCTTGCTGCTGATGCTATGTCCCTGCCCCTTCCTATGGAAAGACCACTGTGGGCTTCCCTCAAATGTTCATACAAAGAACACTAGGAATTGAGGCCTAATTGAATTCTGGTCAAAGGCTGGTACCATGAAGCAATTCAGCAGACAAGCAGCTTATCTTCTGCTGGCTTGAACTGAGTAAGTAAGCCTGGAATGAAAAATTCTGAAGCTGAAATAATGCTTACATTTCATTAAAAAAAATAATAATCAGCAGTATAGAATTTAGGGGATCCCAGCTTATATTCCTGCTGTCCTCACAAGGAAGATCCCATATAATCATTGCAATGCATCAGCAGGCTTCAGGATCTCCCAAGACATCATGCCTCAGACATGATCTCATGCTGCTGAATAAAAAAATTTGCCAGAGCTAGGCTTCATGAAGAGGCAATTGGAATCAGTGTATTTGCCAAGAGGACTTAATGTAAGGTCAATTTGCTGGAAAAAAAAAAGTAGTTTTCTTTAAATGCTTGAGCAGGGACAGATGTCCTTTTGTGCACCTCCCCCCAAGAAGACTGTAAGTTGTGATGCATTCACCCATGTGCAGACTGTTCCTCCTGCTTCTCAGTTGTTAATCAATGGTTATGCATATATCTATGTGAGCTAACCAAACAATGGTGTTTCTACTCTGTGAGGAGTCCTGTGGTTTTGGAATTTGTTTGTTTTGAACTAGATTGTGCAGGATATTTCATAACACAGTGTTATCTATTAAGAATTTGGGCGCACCGTTTTATTTATGTTTTTAATTGGTTTTATTTTGCAAAGGAAGTTTTCAGAAATTAGTCTGTTTTCGACAGCCCAGAGTAAGCCTCATGGTTTTTATTCTGGAGAAGATGGGTACCCTTTCTCATGGTCACCAAGGAGTCTGAGAAAACCAGGTTGAGGTTTTAGCAGAGATCTGATTATGAGCAGAGGAAGCACAGTCCTGTTAGTTCTGATTGTTGAACTTAAGCAGCTTACTCACCTTCTCTCAGTGCATTATCATCTTGCATAAGATCAAACTCTTTGCTTGGAGATGGCATTTCTACACCTTTAAGCTTTAATGCTGTCTGTATGGGAGGTACCAAAAGGTGCTGTGCACCAGGCTAAAACAAAGTCAAACAACTGTCATGACTAAATGGAAAAATGTTTGACTTTGACTCTATGGGGATCAGCTCTCTGCTATCTACTATCGACTATATCAGCAGTGTGGTCTATCACAAGTTCAAAGCATATGAACTTCTAATTAGTACTGTCCAAGTCACACAGTACAAACCTTTGCATAATTCCAAAACATCAAATTGCCACATCCTGTATTCTCACTGTAGAGTTGAAAGATTTCATCAAAAGCCCTATATATTTTTTCCTTCTACAATCTGTTGGGGCATCTGTTTGCATTGCTACATCTCCCATCTTGAGTTACTCCCTGCA